CCAGGTTGCGACAAGTGGTGCACTACATACACGCCACTTGTCGCAACCTGCGAATTTTCACTCTTTCGTTGATTCATTTATTCAAGATGTTTTATCTTTTAAACCGTGAGTCCATATCCCGAACTTTTTTTTACGTTGGATCTCTTACATTGATCTCTTCAAAACTAGATTCATAATAAGTTTTGTCAAACGTTATTTTTCACGGAAAACCAACAAAACCAGAAGAAAAACAAAAAAACAAGGCGGAAGCACAGTTTGTCCCACCTTTTTTTTCACTTTCTAAGAGGTACAATTGTGTCTCTCGCACAAGCAAATATGTACCTCCATAAGAAGCAAAATTGTGCCTCTTGTGAAAGCAAAAAACATGTTTTAAAACCATTCCAAGAGGCACAACTATGTCTCTCGTGGAGGCAAACTTGTGCCTCTACAGAAGCAAATCTATGCCTCCGACAAAAGCAAAAAAAATCGTATTTTTCTCTTTCCAGTAGGCACAGTTGTGCCTCTCGCAAAAAGCAAACCTGTACCTTCACGAAAGCAAATCTGTGCCTATTGCGGAAGCAAAAAAAATGTGTTTTTTTTTCTTTCCACGAGAAGCAAATCTGTGTTTTTGGCAGAAGCAAAAAATGTTGGTTTTTTTTCATTTCCGATGTGCCTCTTGCGGAAGCAAATATGTGCGCCCACGAGAGGCAAATTTAGCCTCTCGCATAAGAAAAAAAATGGGTTTTCCATGCATTTTTCTTTTTGAAAATTTCCCTCTAAAAATAGTGAAAACCGGGAAGAAATCGAAAAGCACAAAAAAAAATCCGGGAAACAAACCATCTAAAACACAATAATACATACAAAAAATAACAAAATCCCGAAGAAGCGCCCAACACGGGATACGTGACGACAGCGGAGAGCGCGTCACTTGGCACACTCCGAGCCCACTAAAGTGACCCTTGTGAGGCTCCCCTAAGGGGTAGCCCTTGGTTAGTTGCTCCCGATAAGGATTATTGTGCAAACGAGCGCACCCCATCCCTTCCTATAATTCTAAATGGGCTGGCCTACCAAGCGCACCCAATGGATTTTCTTCCCTGGTTTTGTAAAGCTTCCTAGGCCAGTTTTGGGAAGCTTCTGATATCTTTCTCAATGAATTATTTTCTTTTCTTTTTTATTTAATTTTTCGTTTTTTCTTTTGGTTTAGTTTTTCATATTTTCCGTTCCTTTTCTTTTTGATTTTTTATTTCTCATTTATTATTTGCGCAAACTTTTTGAAATTCGAAAACTATCTTCAAGTTTGTATTTTTTTAATCCATGAAATTCACTTTTTTTGAGCCGTGAACTTTTTTGAAGTTTGTGATGTTTTTTTTAAATTGGTGAACAACTTCCAGATGCACTAACTTCTATTAAAAATCACTTTCTTTCAATTTGTGAACTTGTTTCCCAAAATCGATGATTTTTTTTCAAAATCGTGATTTTTTTTACCTAGAATCCATGAATTTTTTTCGAATCGTGAACTTCTCAAATCCTGACTTTTTTCAAAATGTACAGACTTTTCTCAAATTCATGATTTTTTTCTAACAATCAAAAACTTTTTCAAATATGTGAATAGTTTTCAAATTTGTGATTATTTTTCAAACCCATGAACATTTTTCAAAATTGTGATTTTTTTTTATCAAATGTATGAAGTTTCTTTAAATCTACGAACTTTTTGAATGCCAAGGGATTAGTGGACAACTTTCCCATAAAACCGGATTTGCGCTTAATGACAGACCGCGTTAACTGGTTATCAAAATAAGGAAATCCGGCCGAGCGAGCTGCTTCGCTTTTGTTGGGCGGCCTAGAAAGGCAAGCCCTGTGTGCCCAGCGTGTGGCTCCATCCATGATCGGTCTATATTGTTGCAGTGTCGTGTGTTTGTGTGTGTGTGTGTGTGTGTATGTGTGTGTGTGTGTGTGTGCGAAATACTGTGGATATTGGGAAGGTAGTTAAGAGTGTGTGTTTTCAACGAAAATATTGAGTTTTATTTAACAGGTTTTTTTGCGGGGACCATGTTAACAGGGTTTCCGTCCGCTAATACATTATGCTATTTGGCACAACCAAACATCAGTGGTAACACCAATTCTACAATGATGAGCTAAACAATGATCAACCCTATTTTTGAATGAAGTAATTTCTGGGGAATAAACTCACGGCTTTCAAATAGAAGCTTGATTTCAATTAGCATATGACCTTAGCAGGAATGGTCCATCAAGGTACTGGTGAGAGCTCCAATAAGAGCGACACAGTTTGCTTGGATGATCTTGGGGTGATCCTTCATTGCAAGCTGAGAGTAATGCCCTCCAAAATTAAGTGTATCTCCGATCCGAGGGCATCATTGCAATAAAACAAGTGCCTATATGCTAAACAAAAGGACATTCCCATCCTCATCTCGCAACACCATATCAGAATATGCCATTCCATCGGCCTCAAAAGGGGACCCATCAACAAACAAAGACATCCATTCTATGGTTTGCCAAGGCCACGCCACTGTTACCTCTGAGAAAATAGGCCGAGCCCATTCAATGATTATCTTACCCTTCAGTACCTCCTTCATGGCCTGATGTATTAATTGTAGAACCGCTTTGAGATAGCTACAAAGGAATTCCTTCGAGATGTGCACCGGTGGTATTTGCTTGCTGTGTAGTTTATCATTCCGGAGGTTCCAAAGTTGACAGACGAGAAGCAATATCATGGATCACACCACTTCCATTTTGTTCAAAAAACGCAAAACAACCACTTCAGGACTGAGACAACAACCTCTTTCTTGCGAGGGATCGACCACTCCTCCCCCATTGCATCTGAAAGCTTCCCAACATTCAGGCTAGTGGACAAAGCAAGGAGAGTATCTTCTTCTTCGACACCACACAACGGGTATGTAGCATGTACTATCAAATGGCGACATTTCTTACACTGATTAGTTGCTACTTGGAGCACACTACACGACGAACCAAGTTCCTCGACAAATACTTACTCCATGTGAAGCATGTAATGCGACTAGTTGGAGAAGACACCATTTGGATGAAGTATTTCTTCACGATGGGGTTGCACCCCAACACCACAAAGCTTGTATGAAACCACATGTCTCGAGGCCATGGTCCGGTTTGCTATCACCGTG